AGAAGATGAAAATGGAAGATGCAATTTGGTCTTTGGAGATGAAAATAGTATTGAAATGAAATGAAGAATGCTTGCTGGCTCAATGAAATAGAGAATAAAATGTTAGTAAACGGTCCCGTATACGCAGCGGAAACATTCGTTTTGCCCCCAAAATATAAAAAAATTTGAGGGGGGAAAATAAAATTTTCCAAACCCCATGGGACCGGTCCTGGGCCCATGGGACCAGTCCCGACCAGGCCTAAGGCCTGGTCCGGGTCCTGATTTTTCTCATGGGCCTGGGACCGGTCCCAGGCCCATGAGAGACTGGTCCCATTTGGGACCAGTCCCAAACGGGCCCAAGCCTGGGCCCGCAAGGGACCGGTCCCTTGCCCAGGTATAGCCGTGAGTGAGACTTGCTGCTGCCGTGACCTGCTGCCGCTACCGTGAAATATTAATTTTTTTTTTTTTTAATTTTGAATTTGCGGGTCCGCGGGTAGTACCCGGTCCACCCGTAAAAGTCACGGGCGGGCTGGGTACGGGTTAATTTTCCACGGGTCGAGATATGTATTACCCGTACTCGCCCGTTGGGTACGGGTACCCGTTGACCCGCGGGTACACCCGCCCGTTTGCCAGGTCTAGGCCTACCCTCACATTTGTTAAAAAAATTATATATATATAGCTTATCTTCAAATTTTTAAAAGATAAGAAATATTATACATATATTCAAACTCATAAAAAACTTGTTATTAATATATATATTCCATGTTTACATCATATTAAAAGTTTAAAACTCTTTCTACTTTTTTTTCTACGTGTATCTGTATTTTATGATTTTATCTCTAAAATTTTTTATTCTCTCATTCTTTCATTCACTTTCTCTATGTTATTCATTCTTAAAATTTTTGAAAACTAAAATTATTGAAGCTTTCACTCATCAAGGTGTAACAACTAGCTTCGTTTTATGTTTTCTCAGTTTTAGGTATGTGTATTGTTCATTTCATTTTAGTTTATTTTAGGGTTGAATTATGCTTTTTTTTTTTAAGGTTTTTTATTATAATTTGATGGAAAAAGACATGGATCTTATATGTTTGTTTTGCATTTTGTGTTTAAGAATGTTTCTGCTTTCCTAAATTAAACCTTAACTATATTTTACTGAATGTTATTCTTCACCCTTCACTCCCCACTTTCCTACAATTCAAACGTCACCGTCTAACTGCTTAAAATTATTAAAGAAGTTTGAGTTATTATCTATGTTTATACTAAGAAAAATTCCCTTTTTTTTATTAATTCATATTAAAAGTCAAGGCAACATTGACTTAATTTAAGTTTTGGTTAACTTTAGCTTAGGTTAGGCTTGATCAAAGTCATGAAATTTTATATTATAATCTTTAAAAGCAAAAAAAAAAAAAAATATATATATATATATATATATATTAAAGAAAAAAAAAAAGAAATAAGAAGTTTGTGTAGAACATTTTTTGTGGATTGTGATTGTTGTAAACTCTTTTAATTATATTGGATTTAAGTGGATCGTTAGATTCCGTGGTCTTTTGCTCTCTTCACTTGAAGAGGTTTTTCCACATAAAAATTTTCTTGTGTTTCCTCATGAATTGAATGTTATTTTCAACATAATTTACTCAAGATTTTGTTTCTCATAGATTTATTCAAGTGGTAAAGTATTATATTGGTGCATTATTTTCTTTCAGATTATTGATATTATATTATTTCCTTTGCTTAAGGTTTAGTGATTTTTTTAAAATTGTCACTGGTTGCTTGACAAACAATGGTGAAGTTACAGAGGTCCCCCTGGGCAAAAATCCTAGGTCCGCTCTTGGTCTCAAGAGTGACACTGATAATGCATATAAAAGAGAATGGTCAATGAAAATGAAACTATAGAGTCGGCTAGAATTGGGAACCGACTGAAACTATATTTGTTTCTGAAGCAAAGGCAAAGTACCAACGTGCTCATTAGTTTCATACATGGAAAGCTATTTGCGTCAAGAGAAAATCATCAATAATTTTAAACCATGCACATGCACATGTACATAATTAATTCTGAATCTTGTAGTCTAACTCAATGTTTTAATAACCAACCTGGGGTGAAACCCAGAAAAGTCCGGGATTGACAGGTTGAATCGATGTTCAAAGGTATGAAATTAAACAAAAATACCCCTAAAATTTCTATAGGTTCTTACAAGTTTGAAATCTTGTAAAAACACCCCAAACACCACTGTCGACGTCGACAACCCAAGCCAACTAAGGCATGTTTCCGACAATGACAACACTCCTCATCACCACAAAAACACTCCCCTCAACCTCCTGACCAAAACTCATCTCACCCTTCCCATGTTCGCTCTGCCAATCACTGGCAACATATCGTTGTTTTGGCCAATTGATTTTTGCCTTTTCTAGTCGATTCACTCAATGAAAATCACTCACTTCACCACCTTTGGACTCACCAACACTCACTCTCCAAAAACCCCAACATAATTGTCGTCGTATGCTCACTGATAGGGGTGTTAACAAGCCGAGTTTTCCGCTTAACGAGCTCGACTCGTGAGAGAGGATTATTAATCGAGCCGAGCTTGAGCCGTGTAACGACTCGATTCTTATAAAAACATGCACAGTGAAAATACACGTAACCATAATATAAAAAGTTGGGCCCAAAATTTTTCTTTCATTAAACATATGCATTCTTTATACAAATATATACAAGGTTTGTGACATATGCAAAACTATCAAAAGAGGGTGGACAGTGTAGCCATTTCTCTTCGTGTGCCGATGTCCATCCGACTGTGCCCTCATCTAGAACCTGCAAAAACATAGGGAACAACTGGATGAGCACAAACAAGGCTCAGTAAGTAAACCCCTGAACTCAAATATCTCTTAACTCTTTCTTTAATCACTAGCTAATTACTCTTTCTCATACTCTTCTATACTAACTTTCTTTCTAGAGTCACGGCCCCATCTGACCGGAGGCACGCTGGACTCGCTCCCACTTCCGTGTGACTTCTACTCATTCTAGCCGATCGGACTTGGTTATGCATGGATTCGAAACCCTTGGCCATGTGAGTGCATAGAATCTCTCGGGTAAACTCGGGTATAGCCCTCATCCGCATGTACACTACGGCTACACCACTTCTCTTTCTGATACTCTGGCCGCTTTATTAATGCGGCGTACATGCGGAATACTCTATCCGTACTCACCGGTTCCCCATCGCACACCCTACTCTATTCTCTTATTAAGCACTACTCTAGCTTACTCTATAGTGCTCCTTCTCTTTTTCTTTCTACTCTTAGAGTAGTCTAAACTCAAAAGTCTCTACTCTTTCTTTTCTAATGCATAAGTAAAGCATAATTAATGCACATCAATGGCTCATACTCATTAATGCATTTATGAAAGTAACTATGACATTAGCAACAATTAAGGCTTTCTACCCTTACTTATGATTCTTTGGCATTTTATCAAGCAACTCATGTGCATAAGTAACTCTACTCTAATTTAACTTTTCTGTTTTCTTTAATCAACCAAATGGGAGAAACTCCCTCACAACCATCTAAATTCCCTGTCACAATAAAAACACTTCCATAAGCTTGCTCAAAACTTCCTCCAACTTCTATCAACTCAACCCAACATCAAGCAAATACCACCTTCTCATAACTCATAACTCAAACATAATACTACTCTCATTCAACAATTAAAAGAAAGCACATATGTATTTCAATCTACTCAAAAGAGTTCTTGATCTCAACTTAGGTTGAGTTTACTTACCTTATGAGAAATTTGCTTCTTTAACACTTCTCCTTTCCTTTGGAAACTTGCTTTTCTCTCTAAATTTCCACCAACAATCACAACATGAGATTCTAATCAAAACATAGGAAAACTCTCATCTAAAGCACAAACCCTTACCTTAGGGCTTTAGGTTAAAACCCTACTAAAAGTTTCTCAAAAGGCTCTTGGAATCCTTGAAAGATGGAAGGAAATTTGAGAGAGTTTAGAAGAATAAAGGAGGCGTGGGGAACTGGAAAAATAAGAACAATCAAAGGCTAAACCCTTTTTAATATCTCTTAATACTCATTCTTCCCATTTTGCCCTTGCTCTTTTATGGAAATTCCATCCATATCCTTTGATTCCTTACTAACACACCCCCATACTAACATATTCTCCTTGAAATTTCCTTACAATTTACTCCCCACTTTTCCTGCTAATTAGGGGTAGAATGGTCAAATTGCCCTTAATGAAGAAAATATCTAAAACTTAGTAAACATTTTGGTCGGGCCGTCGCCGCGGCGAGGAAACTTCTGTCGTCGCGGTGAAACTGTCCAGAAAGTTTCCCTTGGTTTCAACATATCTTCGCCGCGGCGAAGATTCTTCTTCGCCCCGGCGAAGCTTGACACACTACACTTCTTCTATTTTTAACCAATTTCAAGGCAATTAGTCAACACCACACTCGTACTAATGTCAATCAAACAATATTACCACTAAACCATCTCAAATAAGAGCAAACGAAAGAACAGTAACTACGTACCTCAAGTGGGGCGTTACAAGCCGAGCCGCAGATTTCATGGCTCAACTCAGCTCGGGAAAGAGTTGGGAATATTTCGAGCCGGCTTATAGAGTTGAGTTAAGCCGGCTCGAAAAAATTCAATTTTTTAAGAAAAAATCAAAAAAAAAAAAAATTTTAATTACCTTGGCAACACGCAAGTCTAATCCTCTGAAGTTTTTTGTAAAATTTTCAAGATTCATTTTGATTTTTGGCCATCCTCAAACAACTTTTCAATTCTACATATTGTAATTTTTTTCTTCTCATGTCCTCATACATCACCCAACAATTAAACCTACTTAAAATAAATATTAAATCAAATGCTACTGCTATTAATAATTTATCATTCAACATACTATATGTATCACAAATTAAGTTAAGTGAACTAAAGGTTTTTTGTTTAGTTCACTTGACTTAATTAAGTTTTCATCAAAACAAAATGGGGGGTTAGCATAACTATACATCAAGTGACATCCCCATCCATCAAAAAATATATATAACAGCAAAAGATAATTGGTTGTATGTCCATTGTAGCCCCACTCCTCCTACAAACAAATCAATATGAAACACATTAAGTACAATTGTTATTTTATATAAACCGTAACGATGAAAATGCAAACCTTAGCACAAAAATAATAAATATAGACCTGTAGAATCCTACTGCCACAGGCAATAACTCACGGGTGAATCAACCAATCTGCTGACTCCCATCACCTAACAGAACAAGAAGTTGAATCTCCAAGTGATCCTCCTCTTTCTAAAATGAAAAAGAGATAAAAATAATCTGTAGGTTAGAATAAAGTAATTTTAAATATTGAATTAAACAAAACATGTAATCAATGGAATTTACTTTACACCCTTTCTTCACTCCATTCAAAGTGCGACACCAGTCAGATCCACATAACAACATCTCCACCGTAGTTGGTGACAAAGAAGCTCGGTAGCTATCAATAACCCTACTCCCAGCACTGAATGCAGACTTTGAAGCAACCGTAGTGATCAGAATGGCTAGTATCTCACGAGCCATCGTAGACAATATAGGATACTTGGTTGAATTTGCCTTCCACCACTGTAAGGCATCGAATGAGTCATGATCTCCCACACACTTATGGCATCCCTCTCCCAAATAACAGTCCAACTCAGACATACTAGGCTCAACAGTTTCAATCACGTCCTAAAAACTGCTAAAATCATCCCAGGCCTCGGGTCCCTCACCAATGGCTCCATGTACATCCCCTTGTGATGTAGAAGCATGGGCGATAGTCACACCTTGATTAGCTTGAATATACTCCCCATATAACTCATACAATACATCCCGGACCGTCATCATATTTGCCCATGCTTTTGTCTCAGAATACATCTTAGGGAATGCCCACTGAATAACCCTCATTTTCAACCGAGGATCCAATACAGCAGCCACAAACGTCAACACATTACATTCCCCCCAATATTTATCAAACTTTTCTTTCATTCTCCTAACCATTACCCTAATAAAATCATCTTTAGATTCACTTTTACTATCTAACATACATTTCACTACACACACGTCCTTCAAGAATAAATTAGACGTTGGATAATCACTTCCTGAAATGAGTTTGGTGGAACCACTAAATACTTTTAAAATTTCACAGACTTTCTCCACTTTCTCCCAATCCTCGTTGCTCAGATTATTATGATAATTGATATCCCTCTCTTTCAATCTTGGAAAAACCTTTTTAAACTTAATTGTCATTGCCAACATTTCATAGGTAGAATTCCACCTTGTTTTACAATAGAGATTAAGTTTCCGATAAGGCAATTTAAGTTGTTGAACAATCTCAGAAAATACCTTAAGCCTACTTTCTGAACTGTTGATATACAACACACTCTCATAGATGTCGTCAATGATATGCCTAATTTGATAAAGTCCATCTTGAACAATCAGGTTCAAGATGTGTGCACAACATCTCACATGAAACAGTTTACCTCCATAAAGGAGTGTCCGCGAAACTTCAAAATTTTCCTTCAAAACCTTAATCGCAACATCATTACTTGAAGCATTATCCACAGAAATAGTATATACCTTATTTTCAATTTCCCATCCCACTAGGCAGTTGAAAATGTCGTCCGTAATAGCAATGCCAGTCTGGGGAGGAGGTAGACGAACAAAGTTGAGGATACATCTATTTAGCCTCCAAGTACTATCTATCCAATGCCCGGTCAACACCATATACTTCATCTTTTGATTCCTTGAATTCCACAAGTCTGTAGTCAAACTGATTTTTGTCACACTCTTCAATAAAGTCTTCAATTTAGCCTTCTCACTTTCATATACCTTCATACAATCTTTTTTACAAGTATGGCAGGAAATCGGAGTCCATCCAGGAATCTCATACTTCATCATATTGTTCAAACCCTCTTCCTCCACAACTGTAAATGGATGCTCATGCATGAGCACCCAATGGGCGATCAATTCCCTCATTTTCAAGATGTCAAACTTCCCACTTAAAGCTGGCAAAATAGTAGTTGCAACATCATTACCGACACTCGGAAAAGTAATATGTTGTTGCCTCATGGAAGCTTTTCTCCTTAAACACCGGCTTAAATGTCTATTAAACTGGGTGGTGCTTCTTGTGGTATTAATACACAATTTTACTTTGCAATGGATACACTCTGCCTTTTTGGTACCATTAGGGAGTACCACTTCCTTGAACTTCGTCCATACCACTGATGTCTTCGCTCTTTTTTCTTCTGAATTGGATTTTCATTTTCATCACCATTATCCGGGCTACTAATACTTTGCTTCGTATTTATTGTGGTTGCATTCAAGTTAAGGTTACCGCCAGGTGTATCGGTAATCATATCTTGTATTGTAAGGGTACTTGAGGAATTACCCTCCATTTACAAACCTATAAATGGAAAAAAAAAATCAGCAATCTAATGCAAAACCATTAATTGCACACCAATATTAATTATCACCAAACCTAAAAATGGAATTACCCTTCATTTACAAACCTATAAATGGAAAAAAAAAATTGAACAATTTAATGCAAATTCAGCAAGTAGCAGCCATTTTCGTCTCCATTAGTAAAGAATAAAACTATTACATTGCACACACATCAAACCAATACATTATACATTGCACACCAATATTAATTGTCACCAATACATCCCAACACTCATTTATTCTTTAATTAGAGATGTTGGTTGAAGAATTAAATGCTCTATTTATTCATTCAAACCCATTTATTCTTTAAATGACTTTGTAGAATTATATATCTTATGCCTATTTATTCTACTACATAAATCATAATATCTTTAATACAATTTAGAATTATATGTCTTATGCCTATTTATTCTACCAAATTAAAGGCCCTAGTCCCCACCACCAAACGCAATTTAGTCTTCACTGTCCTTTACCATTTTGCAATTTAATATATAATAAAGCCCCTTTACCCTTTGCCCTTTTACAATTTACTTTTCACTGCCCTTTACCTTTTCGCAATTTACTTTTCATTGCCCTTTACCCTTTTGCAATTTAATATATAACAAAGCATCTAGTCCCCACCACCAAATGGACAACCACAACCACAAACAAATGTATAAATTGTCCTTCTGCTGTTTTCTGTAAAACACATCCCTACAAGTACACAACCACAACCACAATCCACAATCCACAAACAAATTAACAAATTACTTTGCAATTTCCATTTTCATGCAAACAAATATCCCACAAGTCCACAACACAACCACAAACAAATTCAGTAAAGCAATTTAAACAAACTACCCTACAGGCTACAGTAGATTGCTCTTAAGTCTTCACAGACAGTACACAAACGGTTCTTGTATGGGTTTCACAGGAATCACAGCAACACCACGACCACAACAGGACCCTGAGACATTGTTTCACCGAAAAAAGCTCCCTGTTACAGACAAACAATTCACGAAAATGATTCAATCATGATAAACAGCTTAAAAAATCAAAAGGGAAGCATGCAACTTGCAAACATTCGGACAAATCATATATAAAACAACTGGAAAACTATATTGTGCATTAGTTGATAAACAACACATAATCTAGGTAACCTACCAATACTTGATTCAAAACTCGGCAACACAACACATAATATTACTTGTGGAATACTTGATTACTCGTTACCTACCAATACTTGATTAATTGTGGAATCGATGGTCGACGGTGTCGTAGATCTATTTCACAGCGAATAGAGAAAACAATAGGAATTGCGACCAAGCGTCTGCGAGACTTCAATGAGTCTGACGACGACAGCTCTACGATGCAAATCTGATGAAGAAGACGTGGTTCACGGCGAAGAGTTGACGACGACTGGGAGGTGTGCCAGTGTTGCCGACAAACCATGCTGGGGATCAATGAAATTTACGGCAAATGAAAAGTGTTGTGGTTTTAGGGATAAAAAAAGGCGGGGGGGAGGGATTTATCATTTTTTTTTAACTTTTGTTGTTAATTTTTCATTTTAATCCCCTATACTTAAGAAAACCCCAAAAAAAACCCCGTTTTTTCGAGCCAGGCTCGGCTCGCGAGCCTAACGAGCCAAACTAAGCATGCCTCAAACTCGGCTCGTTCTATCTCCCGAACCGAACCGAACCGAGCCGGCTCGTTATTTGACGAGCCAAGCAATTAACAAGCCAGACTCGAGCTGAGTCTGTATTGAAAGGGTTAAATTGTCATTCTAGATTTAACAGATTTTAATTAATGGATTTGGACAGAATGGGGGTAAGCACCTATCCGAACTTATGGGTGTTCCAGTATCATCCATACCTATAGGGTGTTACTAAATAAATTTTTCTATTTTACAATAATTGAACATACAAAATTGAAAGCTGGGGTGTTTGTCCGAACATATAAGCTTTAAAATCAAGCTAACTAAACTACTTTGACCAAACATATCCACATTACCCTTATTTAATTTTAAAATTTCATCATATAATTCATTATATTGTTCGTTAGTTTTATTTGTATAAAGAATCTAAAATATTCATATAAATTTTTAATAAAATAGTTGTCCATAAAGTATGGTTTACTTAATTTTAAAATTAAATTATATTGTAATATGATTGAAATATATTTTAAAATATTGTAGTAAAATTTTGAGTTAATATAATTATATTGATAAATAATGCAGTACGTTTTGAGTCATTTTAAAATAAAGTATACTTATAAGCTATATTTTACCAAACGTGTCAATTACTTACTAATCACTTATAAGTAGGGGTGTTAACGAGTCGAGCCGAGCGAGTTTTCGACTTAACGAGTCAGCTATGAGAGAGGATTAATAATCGAGCGAGCCAAGCCGCATATTATGGCTCGGCTCGGCTCGAACAAGAGTTGGGAATATTTCGAGCTGGCTCGCAAGCCAACTCTCAAAAAATCAGTTTAAGAAAAAATCATTTTTTTTTTAAAATACCTGGGCAGCAAGCAGGTCTGATACTTTAAAGCTGTTGTAAAATTTTATGATTCATTTATTTTTGGCCATCCTCAAACAAATTTTCAATTCCACGATTGTAACTTTTTTCTTCTCATGTCCTCATACATCACCAACAATTAAATCTACTTAAAATAAACATTAAATCAAATGCTACTGCATTATAATTTATCATTTAACATACTATATGTACCACAAATTAGTTAAGTGAACTAAAGGTTTGTTTAGTTCACTTGACTTAAAAGTTTCATCAAAACAAAATAGGGGGTTAGCATAACTATACATCAAGTGACATCCTCCGTCCATCAAAAAAATATAACAGCAAAAGATAATGGTTGTATGTCCATTGTAGCCCACTTCCTACAAAACAAATTAATGTGAAACACATTAAGTAAATTGTCATTTTATATTAACCATAAAGATGAAAATGCAAACCTAACACAAAAATAATAAATATAGACCTGCAGAATCCACTGCCCCAACCAACAAATCGCGACCTCCGTGCTGAATCAACAATTGTATCCCATCACCTGCAGAACAGGAAGCTGAATCTCCAAGTGATCCTCTTCTTCTAAAATGAAAAAGAGAGAAAAATAATTTGTAGGTTAGAATAAAGATTTTAAATTTGAATTAAAAAAAAACATGTAATCAATGGAATACTTTGCACAATTTCTTCACTCCATTCAAAGTGCGACACTAGTCACATCCACATAACAACATCTCCACCATAACGGTGACAAAGAAACTTGGTAGCTATCAAAACCCTGCTCCCAGCATTGAATGCAGCTCTGAAGCAACTGTAGTGACGGGATGGCTAGTATCTCACGAGCCATTGTAGACAATATAGGATACTTGGTTGAATTTGCCTTCCACCACTATAAGGCATCGATGAGTCATGATCCCACACACTTATGGCACCCCTCTCCCAAATAACAGTCCAACTCAGACTTACTAGGCTCAACAGTTAACCACGTCCAGAAAACTGCTAAAATCATCCCGCCTCGGGTCCTCACCAATGGCTCCATGTCCATCCCTTGTGATGTAAAAGCATGGGCGATAATCACACCTTGATTAGCTTGAAATATTCCCATTTAACTCATACAATGCATCTGGACAATCATCATATTTGCCTGGTTCTGTTTCAGAATACA